TGCAATAACACTTTTCCGCAAATGATTGGATTTTCACCTCCAAACATTCCCAAGCCCCACCGCATAGCCCAGCATGGAGAGGATGAAGTCGAAGCGGCCGGTCCAGTTGCCACGCTCCTCGTTCTCGTCCTGGCCGTAGACAAGCTTGGCCGTGTCCTTGCCCGCCACTTCTGGCCACTCCAGGGTAAGGACAGAGCCCTGTTAGTGAAAATCAGGATTGATTGACCTTTTGACCTAGAGTCTGGCCTTGACCCCAATATTACTTCAGGGAAACATAATACATCGTCGACCAGCTGTTGAAATGGTCAAAGCCCACAATTTTTATTTAAAAAAACCTGTTGTTTCTTAACTTAATCTCTAAATTACTTTTTTTTTAAGATAGTAAAATTATAAACTGTTTATATAATTGTTAAAGGACGAAACAGTTTTATTATTTCCTATAAAAGTTTGCTTTCTGAGCTTAGTAGGCTACATGTTAACAATTCGCCGACAATATCTCCCCTTTCCTGGCACATTTTACCAAATATCTTACCTTTGAGATGATACATTTATTTATATGAGTTCAAAGTTCTCCTTTTTAAAACAAAACTGCCAGAAAAAAAACCTAGCCCTGAAAACAACAAATTAAAAAAAAAAAAAAAGCAACAAAAACCCAGCAGCCATAGAGTATTCTGAGTGCGGATGGAGCATTGACTTCAGTTGTTAGAGCCGAGAAGAAGAAAGTTAGAAAGCTTTGCAGTATGGCTCACTCACATGTACATTTCTCTGTCACTTTATCAGTTCGCATCATGTGATCATATTTGGTTGTGAAATACGACTTGTATTTGCAAAGCAACCAAGAAAGTATTCATCAGTAGGAATCTCCAGGACAGATTAGGATGGCGGCATGAAAAGGACCAAGACGAGTTGAATGGGAGGAGCAGATTATATATATATATATATAACCCAGGACTCATGATAATGCAAGAATGCTGACCTCAGCAAATCAGAACCATGTGCTTAATTGGTCGCTTTTAAGCACAAGAGGGCTATCGTGAAAAATGCAATCTTGAGAAAATCGAAGAGCAAAGTTTTTGGTCCCTTGTTCAGTTTCTTTAAAAGACAAGGAGAGTTTTCTCTATAACCAAACAAATATACACA